GAGGCTCCGGGGGAGCTGAAGCTACCATAACATGCTGGGGCGACGTCTGCGATATGAAATATCAGTAGCGGCAGGCTGGGGAGTGATGCACAGGAGGAGGCAGAAAGACAAGGGCTGCAGACTCACTGTAGCCGACTATGCCAATTCGAGTGGTTGATTGACGTTGGTATTGTCCTTTCTCTCGGGTTTATCCCAGCCAGAGGCGCACGCTCTAATGCAGGGGTCTGCATCACTGACGACCGTCCGAGGCTGCCACCACCCGAGCTTTTGTCTCTTTCTCTCTTTCTCTCTCTCAGGGACTCGGGATGATGCAGGCAGTGAGTGGATGGCGGGATTGGATGAGGGTTGGCGCTTGTTTGAACGGAGATGTTTGGATGGAGACGCAAATCTTTTCGCGAACGTCTTGACCGAGGAGTGGAATGGGGATTGATTTTGACTGGCTGATTGTTTCTTGTAGGAAAGGTACGTACTGTGCCCCTTCGAGATCTGCTCGGGTCATTGAGCGTGAGTGAGAATGCTGAAAAATGCAAGTGCCTCCGGGAAGTCGCTTTCCTTCCTTCCTCTTTCCTCAGGTCGAATGGCCCCTGCTGCCCATTGGCTGCCTCTTCCAGGTGAGGAAGGTGAGGAAGGTGAGGCAGGTGTGGCAGGTTTGGCAAGGTGTGCGCGCACTCAATCACGGCGTGTGCTCCCCTTCTGTGCTCCCCCCCTTCCAGCGGATAAACTAAGGAGGAATTCACAGCGAAAAATCCTGCAGATGTGCAAAGCCAATCCCCTGCTCCCCCAGTCCGCCCCCCTTTGAAGAGGGGCAGCCGTCACTGACCTCGGACGGGAAGGCATGACTGGTCCCCTGTCAATGTGCTTTCTGGAAGGAGAGGAGCCACTCTCTAGCTACCTAGTCTGCACGTTCCCTTCTGCCGTTAACCCCCCGCGCTGGGGTGCATGTGATGGGCGAACCGTTCCACTCGAGGCGCGAACCTCCGCATCTTCTTTTCACACGCTTCCTCACCCGTCGTCACACTCATTCATTGCACGGCGCTTGCTGCTCGGTCACTTGACGATGCACGCCAAAGAACGCGGTCTGGTGGTTGCAAGACACGCTTTCCATCACCTGCCGCATCACACTTGAGCCTCCTTTGACTGGTGCATCGCGTGAGGGTGTGAATACGCAGTGCACTTCCATCATCACACCCATCATCCTCATCCTCGTCCTCATTCTCGTCCTGCTGTGAATTCTGTGTGTGTATGTGTGTTCCTCGGTCACTACGCGCCTGCCGTCCACCCCCACCCAGAATGTCGGACAACGTGGGGGAGGGGGACGAATGAGGGAACAAATCACACAAAAGTGTCATATCAGATCTGATAAAAAGTTGCACTTTGATGCCCGTCATCGCTCAACCCCTCCAACATTGAACGTGATCGATCATGCATGCAAGGCTTGGGTGCTTGTGCAGCCGCCAACTCTCCCGTCAGGCTTGTTTCCCATGTGTTGGTGCACCTGACCGACCGTCTGACATCGATCCATCCCATTCCATTTGCTGCTTCCTCTGCTGCCTCGTGGTTCCCGTTGCCCGTTTCTCGTGTTGACGTCCTGCATGACTTCCTTCAATAAGAGAGCCTCTCTCTGACTCCTCCTCCAACCACCGGCCTGAGGCGCACTTCCTTCCTCCTCCTCGATCGGCATCGCCATCGGGCCATTTGCCAAACCATCGTCACCAGGCGGCCTCGTCATCATCTTTGCTACCTGCAGACACTCTTACGCGTACATACAACTTGATACAGGCAAACATCGTCGTCGCTACCCCCGATGATGCATTCGCCCGTATCGCACCAACCAGCCGAACGTCTATAAAGCAAATGGCTTGTTGCGCCGTAGCGATACCTAGCTCTTTTGTCGCCCCCAACCTCCTTGCTCGCACTTAGCCGGCCCTGCTAGGCTTGGGCAAGTGACCGCACTCGCATCAGTCGCGTCGGTATCGGCGGAACTGGATTACCAAGCTGATCAACCCAGCAATCCAGCCTGGAACCCCCAGCTCCTCTTTCCGCCTCGCAGCCCCTTGGCGCGCTTCCGTTCCGGTTGGATCCCGCTCCTCGACCTGCAACGACACCACGGACCGAAGTTGCTCATTTTAGCAGACAGCAGATCTCATCTAACATAGGTACGACCAAAGCATCGACTTCGCCTCAACGCCAGCCAGTGTGCCTTTGGCCGCGGAAGCAAGGGGTAGCAGAGAAGCAAGAAGGAAGAAGAAAACTCTGAAAAGAAAACAGCAAGGGTTTAAGACCGGGATTGATCAGAACCCTTGCCGGCCATCACTTCACCTTGCAAGTCCATGTAAACCGCCTCACCGAGGGCGCACGGAACAGAATTCGAGCAGGCAGCACCCGGCCGCGACCACACACGCACAAACATTACGGCACCAACGACGGTCAACCAAGCTGAGCAAGCCGCGCGCCATTCCTCCTGTCCGACCTCACACCGAGGCGCACTCTGGATACTCTCTTCTCTCCTGCCTGCCGTCGCACGGCAAATTCCTGTTGCGACCCCGTTCATACATGAGGAATCTGATCGATATTGCGGCCATCTAAGACGACGGAGTCATCTCCATACCAGCAGCACCTCGAGGTTAAGTTCTGCTAGGCCCTTCGGCCCGCGTTTCGGTGTCATTCACCTTGACACGGTGTGATTTATTTACTCTCGAGAACCCCAATAACTGCAACCCTGTGCTGGACTGTCAAGGGCCAGAGGCAGACAGCGTCCAGCCACGTTACGCCAGGGGAACGAGAAAATTTTTCACCTGGGACGCTCTAGCGGCACACGCCCGGTGAGATCCCGCTTGGCTCTGGCGCCGTTGGAGACTCTTTTTTATTTTTATTTTATTATTTTGTGGTGGCGGTGGTGGAAGCCATCTCCAAATTTCCCGGATTCCGCACGCTTGTTCGCTCGTGCGAAGACCCAATCTCGCTTACCCGTTACCGGTATATTTACCCACACGGCAGCGCGTACGCTACAGAGTACAAGCGAGCACAAGGACCGCCGAGCTCTATCTCTTTTACCTTTTTCCCACGAGAAACTTGCGCCCGGCGACTAGGGACAGCCAGCCGGGGTCTCACGGACGTTTGTGCCGACTCATTGAAACGGCAAGGCCTCCCAGTCGCGAGTCCTTCTCGTCAGGGTACTCTACGTCCCCGGCGGGTTTGGGCGCCGGCATCACATCGCCGTGACAGATTTCGATACTGGTGTGGCTAATTTCAGCGTCGAGGCGTGAATATCGATCTTCACCGCTCGGTGGACAGCCCATCTTGTTTTTCTCCTATCCCACCCTCTGCCGAACACCAAAGCGGAAGGTTGAGACTGAGACGGAAGTCAGACCTGTCCCGTGACCAAGATAAGAGGGGAGAGTGTGTGTCACTGGCGGTGACTCGAATAATTAAGAAAGCAATCATTGTGGCCCAGCTTGCGCGAACGCAGGAGCCCAACGTTGGGATTCCAAGCCCTGCTGCAGGCCACACAGGGCAAACGCAAGCAAACGCAAACTTCCAGGGCGACGACGGTGTACATTCTTCACTACCGCCCCTTATTTCACACGGACGTGCTTCACGGTACTATTGTATCTATTTCCAGGGGCTTCTGTCGAGTCAGCAGCGAACCAAAGCGCAGCTGGCTTGAATTGTGCCATGATTACGGAGTCAGCTACGCGACAGTGATTGACACCGACATACGACTGGAGGATTCGTTCCATCGAACCGGGAGCGCGAGCGACAAGAGTCATCACCATCATCGTCCAACTACTGCAGAGTAGTGTCAAGTGGACTGCGCATTGGTGCGTCGCGACAGCTGGCTGAACCACAGACTGGACGGTCTGAGAATCCGAGTCGCTGCTTGCTCCGTCTAAGCCCGGACGACGGCCCGTCGATTGGTCTGCGACCGAGAGTAGATTAGCAGCCTCTCACAGCCAGAGGAGCGCAAACGCACTCGACGTGCTGCGAGAGCCAACACGACACAGTGTGTGTATGTATGTGTGTGTGGCTGGTGTGCAGAAGCTTCTCTCCTATTGGGAGCGATACCTAGTTTATTCAGCATCTCTTACGAATCCCCGGCCAGACCGGGTGTGAGTAATCTTCTCCCAACGCTGAGCAAGGGAGAGCAGGTTGTGTACAAGCTCCAAGTACCCATTCCTTTTGGTTCTATCACCACGCCCCCCACCCAGGAACTTGCTGTTGGTATTCCTTGCTCGTCGAGAGAGGAGTGTCCTAAATTGGGCCAGGTTCCGTGTCCTCGCACGCTAAACCAGCCCCCCTTGTTCGTGGCTCTCTGGCTTGCATGTACAGGGATCAGGGTACCACTAGACCCACACGCCTCCTTGCAAAAGCACCCTCATTACCACCCCCTGGTGGAACTTCTTTCTCACCCCCTTCTCCTCTCCCACAACCTGGCCACAAGCAGTTTAATTAAATAGCCCGCCGCCCTCACCACCACTCTTGGACGTTCTCCTGTCTTCTCATGTTTTTGGCTTTTGCCAATCAATAACAAATCTTTGACAACTCAGCCTCGGCGTCCAGTCATTCAACCAAACACCAACATCACATCCTTCACCACTTTGCTGGCGAGACTTCCAAGAAGCCCCAGCATCTTCCACCGCCTAGCCCGAGATCGAGAAGCTTCTTTTCGTGCTCGGTAATCTGGATCCTATCCTTGGTCAGCGAGGATAATTTGCAGCAGTTATATCAAACTTGGTCATGTTCGGCTACAGAAGACATATTCCCTCTCCTCTATCTTCCGACCGCATACCAAGGTGACTCGCTTCACCTTCTTTCGTGCCTCGACATCGGCGCGACACCCTGGCCCTGGTATCAGACTTCCGCAACAACCACCAACGACGACATTTTGGGGGGAGACGTGAGAGCTAGCAGAAGAAGCTGCTGGAGAAAGAAGAAGACGAGAAGAAGAGAACATCGTGGACGCCCCAGAACGACGTCGCAAGAGAGACCCATCAGTCAACATGGCAAACTACTCATCCCCCTACACCGGATCGACTCCTGGCGAGGAGTACTACTACCACCAAGAACGATACCAGTCGGCAACCCCAACACCCTCCCCGCGGGGACCCTCATCCTACTACTACCCCGGCGCCACTCCCCAGCGGCCGGCCACTCGTGCGCACTTCCGCAACGCCAGCAGCGGCTTCAACGAGTTCAGTCCCCGTCCGCCGACGGCGTCGCCTCGATACACGAGCGATGGCTACTATGCCACGGCAAATGTGAGTAGTGGTCATCATTCGCACAAGCCTTCATGGGCCACTCCGTCGCAACCAAAGCGCGAGCGCCGAGCTTCTTATGTTTATGTACGGGCCTCGACGCCCCACGGAGAATCCGACGAGGACGAGATCATCGAGGTGGATGGCCGTACCTATGTGTTGCCGGCCCAGTCGTCGCGCCAGAGGACCAAGAGGCACTCTGTTCATCAAGAATCTTATTATTATCAAGACGCCGGGAGAGGATATGCCACTGATTACCACTATCCCAAACAGAGCGGATTCACCTACATTGAGCGCGAGCCCCAGCCCTATGAGCCTCCCCGCACCTCCCGCCCCTCGGCCAACACCCACGCCCGTCGCTCCTCGGCCTCGGTGCCCCAGCGGCCATCCACGACCCGTCCCGCCAGCTCCCACACCAAGAAGCCTCCCCCATCTCGCCAGGCTACCGAGGCGGATGCCAAGAAGCACAAGATCCCCGCGGGCTACTCGCTCAAGAACTGGGACCCTACCGAGGAGCCTATCCTCCTGCTTGGCAGCGTCTTTGACTCTAACTCCCTGGGCAAGTGGATCTATGACTGGACCGTCTATCACCATGGGCCTGCCACTCCTATTTCTGACATGGCAGGCGAGCTCTGGCTCTTGCTGATCCAGCTGGCCGGCAAGGTCAAGCGCGCCGAGGAGGTTGTTGACCGCGTCCGCAGTGCTGAGAACAGGGAGCTCATCGATGACTTCATTGACTCGGGCGAGCGCCTCACTGACAAGCTCCGCAAGCTCCTCAAGACTTGCGAGTCCCCCATGCTCAAGGCCGCCAGCAAGAAGGGCAACACGCAGCTCGGCAAGAACGCCGGCGTCGAGTTTGTCGAGACGCTCTTTGGCCGCGAGCGCGAGCTGGACAAGACTGAGCGTTTCATGCAGGGTGTTCGTCTCTTCAACCTGAGATTCGACGCCAACTGTGAAGACATTCTCCGCAACCCTACGCAGTAAACGGACCCACCTTTCTCTTTCTGGATACTGCCTGGTCTCCTTTTTGTCCGCTGCCACTTTTCCCGGACGGATCTTCTTCTCCATGGATGCCCGCGGACTGCCACTCGGAGAGCGCACGTACCACTACCACATAAAACGAACCAAGAAAACCCATATTGAACCGACGGAGGGAGTTGCCGATTGTATGATTAGGAATCTGTTTTCCGGATCTCATTTCCTCAGGGAGTTTTTCCTTATCCATCTCCTACCTTGCCACGGACTTGGACCTTCTCTCTGTCTTCATCACCATAAACATAATCTGGCGCGAGCTATTATGCATCGGGGATACACACCAAGGAATTTTCTTTGCGATACCCAAGATACCACACGGGCCCGAACTTACACGGGAACGAGAACGACTACGAACGAACGAACGCACGGCATCATCGACCTTGTGTTAGAGGGATGGACATCAAAAGCATGCTTTGGTTGCGACATGATCATTACGGGAGACTGGACCACGGTCCAGTCATGGATAGAAACAGCGCGCGCGCAAGTTTGGGATATTTTGTTATTGGGCGAGTTCGTCCAGCCTGGACCTTTGCCACGTCGAGATGCGCGCACTATGGAAACAGCTTTTATGTGTAATACCGTCGTCGACTTGCGAGGACGCAGCGATGACTTATTGGAATTTTTTTAGACGGATACGGGATTTGGTAGTTCTTGTTTTGCTTGGATTGCTGTTGCAATATCCACTCGACCGCACTGGAGGCGCATCCTTTACTACAGGTTCACACGACTCGATATTTTTTGCAGAGTCGAACACACATTTCCTTTCTGGCAGGAAGATCACGGAGGAGCTGGATATACCCCTTCCCTTTCCTTGTTTTTGACTCCCGTGGACGAAGGGAGTCGGAGAGAATAGTTGCAGAAATCAAACAGCATCATCCATAAACATCATTGTGCCCAGAACCTTTTCATCGTGACATGTTTGTTGGCCTCGAGATGGCGGGAGACGAATCCGTCAACGACTAGGACGTTGGCGAGAACAACGTCATCTCATGATAATAATGCCTGTGATGGCGGGTCCCACATGGCCTCTCTCGTCTCTCGAACTGCAGTACCCGACCCACGAACGGTCGCGAACTGCTGTCCCGTCCGTGCGGGACGGTCCCAAGCCGCCGCCGCGGCGACTGCTCGTGGTTCGCGGAAACGGTCCCAGTTATGAGGTCATACCCTCGGCCGCGACCAGCCTCCCTGCTCCGGGGGGGTTACCCTTGTAGACGGACCCCGGACGCGAAAGTTCATGCGACTGGGGTTTACGATGCGCGACATTGCGCGGGCGGGTTTTTCGTGGGGAGACCTTTTCACGACTCTCGATTCGGGTCTATCTACGGTGTTGGAAGGGGATACGGCGCCAAGTGTGAAGAGCGAGGCCGGTGGACGCGGAATGGATGGGATCCTCACGGACGGGCGGACGGGGTGGACACGGCGGGATGGGGGGGGGGGGGGGGGATCGATCTCGCAGGGTGGCCGCCAATCTCCTGGATCTTTTCTCTGCGGGAACCAACGCCTACAAGGCTGCGGCGCCTTTGTCTCTTTCCGGCTCTCTTTTGCCGTCATCTGGACTCATGTCCACTCGCATATTGCTTGTCATATCTGACGGGGCCCGCTGGCATTTCGCAATGGGCGCGGACAACGGGGGGTGGTTTGCGTGACCGGGCAACCTGCGCGGTAGACGGCAAACGACAAGAAGCTGTGTCTCGAACTCAATCTCGGGCAAGGAATTCGTCAGGCATTCGTCATTCGTCAGGGGAAAATGGCCGCTCCCCTTGCGAGACACCCAGGCATCCGAGACCCAAGACCATACCCTCCGGAGGAGCGAGCGAGGCTCCTCCGTGGGCCCTTTGGGCTGGAATGTTTCGATGGGTTGAGTCGCGGGCGGGCGGGCGAGACAGGGTGGTTTGGATTTATTTTGGACAATCCGCTCAACGGGCATGCATGCGCTGGGTTCACGTTCCAGGGGCCGGGTGTCTTTGACGCATTCCATGGCCCTCGCTCATCTCAGCGGCCGCGATGCCGTCGGATGCCGTCTTCCGATGGGGAGAGGGGGGGGGGGATCTGGCTGAAGAAATGATGGATGATGGATGAGCGTTCACAGAGGAGGGTGTGTCTTGGGGGAAATGGCAGCGGAGGGCGACATCCGGGACGGTGTCTTGCCGTGCGCGATTCGCGTTTGATTGTGGTCGACGGGACACACGGGGCTGAGGTGCGTGGTTGCGTTTGCCACGCCCGGGCCAGGATGCCAGGGCTTTGCTCGGTGTGTGTGTGTGGGAGAAACAGATTTTGAAATTCCTTTCTTTTTTTCTTTTTTCTTTTTTTTCTTGCATCCTTTTTGTGCGTTTCTGATCCAGCCACAGCGGAATCACAGACCTGCCCACCAACGGGACGGCTGAGGGCGGCGGGATGGGTGATGTGTGTAAAAATGGTGCGCGTTGCGTGGCAGAAACACTGTTCGGATTTCAGGGTCGTTTGGGCACGGTTGCAGCTGTCTGAACTCTTGGAGTTTGTTTTTAGAGGGGGGTCGGGTCGGGTATGTGATGAGACGGGAGACGGGATGAACGAGAAGAAGGAAAACGGGTTGGTTTGCACGGCCGTCTGGGTTGGTTGTTTGCTCACTCCTTTGACGGACGTGCGCTTCTGCCGGCTGGGGAGGCCCGAGCAGCGGAGCACGCGCGACATGGCGATGCGCTGCACGCTGGTGCGCGTCTTGCAGTCCTGCGAGGGAGCCATTGAGTCATTTAGTCATTCGGTCAGACAGGCGTTCCGCATAAAGGCCCGGCGAGGTTGGGAAGTGGTCACGGGTGGCGACGCGCTGCGAGACGGCCGTCATGTGCCGGCCAGATCGAGGCTCGCCTTTCCCGAAAGCCCCAGCCGATGAAGCGGCTCTTGGGCCTCTGGGACTGTCTTGCATGCAAGTGATTGAACGCGACTCAGGACGCCGCCCGGCAGGCAGAGACAGAGGCGGACGGACGTGGGGCATCCGAGACGAAACACCGGCGCTGGGGGGGCCGTGAGGCGCGCCGGTCGGCCGGGGGTGGCAGATCACTTTGATCCGGGTGGGGCGGGCTTTTCGGCGCTGTTTGGGCACGGCGGGAGTCATACACTAGGTAAGGAATAGGGGGTGTTTCTCGGGGTCCAACGATGCCGCGCCCATGCTCGTCTGGTCGTCGACGACAAACCGCTGTGAAGTTACCCAACTTCGACGCGCAGTGGAAATGAGTCTGGTACGACCGGGAACACGTTGGTCAACCTGCATCCGGGAGGAGCCCGTATTTCGAATCAACCCGTTCAAGGCCCAGTGTTAAACTCGGCCGGGTATCAAAGGAGGGGTTGCTGTCCGCTAATTGGCGCGCAGCGCCTGTTCAGTATTCATCCCGGACGGCAAGCTACGCTGCTCTGGCGGCCAACAGGATTAAATGAGATACGACGGGCTGTCCATCGCAAACTGTCTTGCTCTTTTCTTCTCAGGTCTTCAGAATAACCCAGATGCACTAAGGTCCCCTCTACGTCTCAGCATGGCAAACGGCAGCTGTCTATGCGGCAAGATCCGCTACCAAATCAGTCTCGGCAAGGACGCCCCGTTGGAGGTGAACCAAGACCGATGCACCGGCAGCGTAGAGCTCTATTGACCTCAACCAGACCTCAACGTGCCATTGTCGGCCCTGTCGCAAGATCACCGGCGCAACAACCTCGCTGAACCTCACGGTGCCTCTCTCGGATTTCGCTCTGTTGGCGGGAACACCAAAGACGTTCACGACCCGGCACTGCGACGACGGCTTCGAGTTCTCCATGGTGTTCTGCGGGGACTGCGGCAGCCCGATCTACGACATGCCGCTGGGCGGTCCTCAGCCTCCCGTGGCCGTCATCCAGGTCGGTACGCTAGATGACGGCGGCGTGCTGGAGGCGACGCCGGTGACTGAGTTGAATGTCAAGCACAGGTTGGGCTGGGTCCGGGAGGTGGGAGGTGCGGTCCAGAGGCAAGGGTACACCGATTTGAAGACGGGTTATTGAATTGAATGGTCGTGTCCAAAGGTTCAATGCCAGTCATGTCTTGCCGACCAGAGTCTGACGACCCAGCTTCCAACGCCTCTACCGGGTCGGATATCGGGTTGCCCTGACTGGAGCCTGCTTCTTGGCGTGGTCCAGGTTCAACGACCTCGGATGCTGGTTCCAACACCTCCGAACTTCCGGACCTGGATGACAGCCATATCTGCCTGTGCCGCGACAACCCTGAGGCCAATTCCTCTGTGCGGCGTTTGGCAGATACCCTGCGATAGGGTTACGCCGCGCCAGTCACCCGTGACGAAACATATTGGATTCAGGGAATTACAGCCGGGCTGGTTGACTTGGTGTGGGAGCACCCAGCCCAGTGTCCTGGGCGCTACAGTGGAGGGCTCTGTGTGACGAGTTCGTGATAGAGGCGTTCCCTGTCTCTCGCGGCGGGCGTTTGGGCGGCACGGCAGGCTGGGGACACGAGGTGTGTGCGCGGTGGCCGTTTGCTTTTCCCGTTCCGTACGTTTGGTTCAGGGATGGTCTGTTTGTTCGATGCAGCCACGGGATGCGCTGCGCGGGAAAAAAAGAAGACGGCGAGGCTGGGAAAAGGGGGCACACCAGGCGAGAGACTAGGACGGCAGGGAGAGCGAGATGCGGAATGGCGGGTTGCACTGTAGCGGATGGGAAGCGGATGACATTGGCGGAAGTGGGAGTCCGGATACATGGGACGTCGGCCTCAGCGCTTCGGCGGCCAATCAGCGGCGCGGGTGGTGTGCATTGCACCGGCAGTGAGCGACACCACGTTTTTGGCTCAGCTTGCTTTTCACGCCGCGCTCGTTCACGTTCAGGTTGCAGTTGCTTTTCTTTTCTTGGGTGCTGGGGGTGGCTGAACAGGCAGGTCTCAGGATGGTTACTTTGTGATCAAATACCCTGGTCCGCAGAGGTTGATACGTCGATATGTCATTAGTTGCGTGAAAGTGTCAGGTACTCCTGAACGCAGAGCAATTTTAGTGCTACTGTGGCTTGCTTCGTGATTCGATGCCGGCCCTTGGTGCGATGCAGCCTGGAAAGTGCACATTTCGGATCTGGACGAGGCGCAACATGTGCAAGATTGGGGGCCAGATGGCCTGTTCGTGGGCCGTGGGCCACGGCCTGGTAGCCTTACGAGGCGGCGGAGGGCTGTGGGATGTAACGGAGGACGCAGGATGACGGACGGGAACGGCGTATGAGTCTTTCATGCGGGACTGTAGGTATGTCAGTGTCAGGTGTAAGAGAGGCGGGAAGAGGTGGGCATCCGTGTCTGAGATGACGGACAGCTGGTTAATGGGTCTGGGAGGATGCCGCTCCTCCCGCTGTAGGCCCGGTGGCACAGTGATAGGAGTTGCGAGACAGTGGTGATGCGGATGGTTCAGAAAAGGCTGAGGCGTTGGCTGAGGCCTGTTGGTTTGATCGCGCCCTTGCGTGTGCTAATGTCTCTGATGGCCCTCCCTTGCAACGGCTCACATGAGGCTGGTGAGCCGTTGAGACATGCGTCAGCGCCCCCCTAGGGTGTTATACCTAGTTGCAATGTGGTGCTCGGTAGGGGTTTTACTTGTATAACAGCGATGATGATAGAAAGGCGTTAGGGGCTTTAAAATTGCAGTGCAGCCGACCTCCAGCATTCTTGAGTTTTGTCAATGGAAGGCCTCGGGGGGGTTAAAGTTGCAGTGATACCCACGGTACCCCCAACATGGGTTTGTCTTATGCAGCTGAAATCTCAACACGGTTTAGTCTTAATACTTCGTACGATAGCTCAGACCAAATCATTCATCCTAACATCAGTAACTTCAAAGTACATACAGACCAAGAAGGCGGGGCTGATAGCCGATGGCCCATCGCGAGACCCGCCCTGGGCCCATCAAAAGGAAACATGCCCTGGGGATTGAAACGGAGAGGGCCAAAGCTGCCCGCCGGACGAGGGGTCGACGTTTGAAAGGAGGGGGGAGCAGGAAGAAGGAAGAGACGCGAAAGGAGGGGAAACCTTGAACGGGCTGACAAGACTGGGCAGGCCATCCTTCTGATCCGACTTGGACCCTGCTTTCCTCTCCCGCCCGTTCGTCTCGAAACCGCAACTGACATCATCGTCCCTCGCTGTCAAGACGTTGTCAACTCGGCCCATTCCTTCTGCCATGACTTTTCAACAGGACGTACGACTCTGGCCCCCTAAACTCGGCAGCAAGAGTCATCGTAATCGGCTCAGCCTCTGTCAGACAACCACAAGTCCAACAGACTCCCCAACCAAAGGGCTCCAGTCACCAGCATAAGCTGACCACTTCTCTCGCATGTGGTGCAACTCGCCCACCTACGAACTGGCCGTGGCACGACTGCTACCCAAATGCGCGCGAGTTGCCATAATAAACCACCCAAACATGGGTTTCTGGAGCCCCCCCAACCGCATTGCATGCGCTGTGCAAACACACACACGCCCGCACAATGCAGAGCGCGGCATAGTACAAGCGCTATGCGGCGACCTGCAGTAATCAGCACACGGCACCCGGCGAGCAGAATGCGTGCCGTTATTTTTGGGCATGCGAATGGTTCCTCAGCGCCGCGCAGACGCTGGTGGACTTGCGTCATTTCTCACGGCGCTGCAACCCACACACCTATTCAAAGTGCAACATGTAGCTCAAGACTAGTGCTTGGTGGAGAGGCATGACAGCCCGCTGCCACTGCTGTTACGGCCCGTTCCAAGCGTTCGTCCTCTTCACATCGAGGTTGGCATCACAAACCAAGCCAAACCAAACCAAACCAATCACCCCCAAACAGTCACCGAATCACCGCTTTGGGCCCGAGAATCCATCACGTCGCTGCACACTCCCCCTCCCTCTGCCCATGATGCCCCCTGCTCTTGCGTCTTCCCGTTGTGAGAAACCCTCGCGGGCGTGTTTTGCTCAGGTAAGCTTCGGGTGAACCTGTTTCCCGTCTCGGCCGTTTGTCATACGAAACATGGCCGAGGGGCACGTCAATCCTCCGTGGATGCACCGATCTCTGGACTGGAATGCGGGCTTCACGGTGCGCGTGATGGACGCCTCTGTGACTGACTGCGGCTGCCGCGCCCTTTGCGCTCCAGCGGGTGGATGGTAGCGAAGCAGGTTCGCTGCTCGACTGCACTGCGTTATCCGCCGGGATGTCACGGATTGGCGTCGATGCACGCGGACCAAAGAGGGGTTGTTCGAGAACAAGAAATGATGGCCGGGAGGGGTAGGGTGCGGGTCGCTGTTGCGGACAACTTGTCCCGTCATCTCATATCATGCATGGGGGAGGGGAGGGGAGCGTCTCCTCACATTTCGGTCTTCAGCATTGCGGTGCTACACGACTACGGCGTGCGTGTCTACGCTGCATTTCTTGCGTTGGATTCGGTCCATCAGGCACATAGTCTCGAAATGCGATGCACTTCACTTCCGAGGATATCGTCAGACCGAACACCCATCCCTCGCACAACAGCGCAGTAGCAACAGTTCGGCCATCAGCTCTTCGGCTCGTCATACTAGCAAATTCTTCGCGCACCAGCTCGCCGGGACATAGGGCCATGTCCGGCCGATCCGACCAGCAGAAGCCCATTACCACCCCCTCGTAGACCGTCGCTCCGGGCGAGCCCGTTCCGCAACGTGCTTCCACGCCGGACACGCTTGCGCAAACTTCGCATGTGTCTGCTACCTAGTGTAAAACGACGCGGGCCACATGGGACCGACGCAGCCTCGGGCCAATGACGACGGCTCCTCCGCGCCGCTGAAGACCCATAGGGGGGCGTGAAGAACTCGAGGTACAATACCTCGTGGACCAGGGTACGTCCGTACCGCTGGCACCCCGGTCTGCTTACCCCGCCATGCATATCCGCCACGACTTTGCTGGGTTCGCAGCCGCCGGATTCTCAGCACAGTGCGCTCGCCGCTTCCTTCCTGGTCCTGTTGCGGCGGCAGGAAGAAAGTGTGGTTTTCTCCTTCGGGAAGGGCAAGGGATGTCGAGGGCGAGGTGCGCAATCCTGCTGCCTTGAAGAACCGGGCACTTGTCGTCGGCCCCCGGGATGGCGGGTGCCGCATGCGCCGTTGATCGTTGCAGCAATCCTTCAGGGCCGTCACGGACGTCGTGGCCGGTGAAGGCGCGGCCGGCCGATGTTGACCTTCATCACGGGAAGTTGGCTTTGAGCCAGTTTATGAGAGACGTCTTCTATTTTAGGGGTGATTATAGAAAACGTTTGACGTGGCTTTGCTTCCCAGCTGAAAATGGAAACAAGTCTTGCCAGCAATAGCTGCAGAAGCCTAGCCTCCAGCACCAATTTTCCACCGGCGGGAAACGATGTCGACACTAACGTAGACAAACCAGCTCGGTCCCCAGCTCTGGAACTGACCGGCCCGTCAACGGCGCCGAGGCACCAGCCACCGCCGACATGACCATCGCAGACCTCGAACCGGGCCAACGCCCCCCTTCCTAGCAAACTCCGCCTCTACTTCCACACGCTAGAGCTTTCCGCGCCGGCCTTCTTACCCTCCTGGTACGTGTCACTCAACGCGTTATACAGCCCCTTGACACGCTCCATCTCCCGCCCCCAACGCGCCCTGTCCTCGCCGTCCGGCAGCTCCTTGACCAGATCCGCCAGACTCCGCGCCGTGAAGAATTTGTTGGCGCGGTTATACAGCGGCCTCCTGCCCAGCGCCTCGTCCCCCTCCCCCTCGGCTCTGACGCGGAAGACCTGCTCGAGGATGTTGATGTCGTGCGGGATCGCAAACAGGTCGCGGCTGTCCTCGTAGGTGAAGAGGTAGTACACCTCGCGGAAGCCGGACCAGGCGATGCCGCTGAGGCAGAGGGAGCAGGGCTCGTGCGTGGCGAAGAAGACGCAGTCGGTCCGCGGGCTCGGCCGCGTCGAGGGGTCCGGGAAGGTGGTGGTGAAGAACTGCTGGATGCAGTTAATCTCGCCGTGGAGCAAGGGGGAGGCGCGCTCGTCGTTGGTGGCGACGGTCAAGGGTTCGAGGGTCGCCGAGGAGAGGATGGCGGCGCCAAAGAGTTTGCAGCCCGAGGCCACGCCGCGGCGGGTGAGGGGCACGATGCGGTTTTCGGTTAGAGAGAGGATGGAGGAGAGGATCGTCTCAGGGTCGCGGGGTGGGAGTGCTTCGTCGGCCATGGTGGGTTTTCTTGGAATGGAGGGCGCGATAAGGGCGATGTTGGGTTGATGTTGTAGCAGTAAAGTGGAATTCTGCGCCAGGTCAATCAAGATAGTGGGGGAGTTTGTATCGCGTCCATGGTGGACTGGGGATGGATGCACGCGGCGGTTTTATCGGCCGTGATGCTTATCACGGTCGCGGGATGGGGCGCCGACCTCCTGCTATCGGAGGCGTCCGTAGCGCGGGAGGAGGTGTGCTGCGCTGCGTCCGGTCGCGGCGACCTCCGAGCTTCTGCGCGTTGGGGATCGGAGATGGGAGTTTCGAGGCGTCACTTGATCGCCTCGGATTTTTGTCCTCTACGTCGGTAGTTCGGATTGGGAGCGCCATTGAATTGACGGATTGATACTTCGAAGCAAGCCTCGCTGTGTTTGTGATTTGGTTGATGGAGGGAGAAATTCCAGATTGGCAGGCGGCGGGGCAGATTCCTGGAAGGCCCACGGAGCCCCGGATCCACAGTGCCGCCGGTCGCCGGTCAGAGAACGGGACTGGGTTCGTGATGTCTAGCGATATGTAGGCCCGTAAGGCAAGTACACAGTAATAGATGGCGTAGCGGCTGCAGTCTCCACCTTCTTTCCATCAGCAATGAGACCAGCGAAGCTCTGGCTGGAGTCTGTGTAAGGCCACGGTCTGCGTTGTTGAAGCTGGTGCCGCGGCAACACAGTCCAAGGCGGCAACGGGATGTGCGTTTCCCATCTCTGAATTGTGTCCTTTGGTAAGTATAAAAATTGAGTCTACAAGGAAAGATAGAATTTACCGGGAGATAATGTCCATTGGAACTAAACCATTCACTGGCTGCCCCCCTTATCGAGCGCTCAGCACATACTGCAGCAGGCCTGAGGCATTCTGTCTTATGGAGCTGGGAAATGGTTCAACAACGAAGACACTGCCAACTACAACAGTGTCTTTGGCTCTTGAACGATCCCAAAGCATGCCGCCCTATTTAGGTACGACTTGAAGTCCGACCTACAGCACGTAACAAGTCCCCGAAGGGTCTGCGACACTTGCGCAAATTGATATTTTCAATGCATTTCACTGGTCAATTGCTGATGACTAAGCGATGCCTTACTTTTCATCGGCTCTCTCACCTTCCTCTCATTGACCCGGCAGACACTCGCTGTGAGATGAGCGCAACGAAACAAGCCAGCCTCCGAGCCTATTGATTCAATGCATTACATCCGCCTCCTACGAGCCCCAAAGCTTACGTACGAGAAGGGCAGAAAGCACCCGTGGTCTCTTAATGTCGTTCTCTCCGTCACCACGGATCTCGGCGACTCCTTCCTGAACCCCGACGACAATGATCCCGTCAAACTCAAGGTCAGCGCAGGCTGGGAGCAGCCAAAGAAGCAACAAGCCGCCGAGTCCATGATCCTGGCTGCGGAAAAGACTCTGCGATGGACACCCGGGATGCGTGTCCTCAAGGCCGATATTCCTGCTCAGCACCTCACTGCCCCGTTCCTCCCGAACCCCGGCCCGGGCCCTTTGAGAGTTGTTGTTCGCGCGGACAAGGGCCAGTCGGCTGAGCTGGCGACCAGTGTTGCTTTCGCAGGATTCGAAGACGAATGTGGAAAGATTATGCCCGTATGGGCCGATGTTCAGACGCCAGATATCCATGAGGCACCGACAACGTGCGTGAGGAGGCTTGCACACGGCGATCGGCAATCGGAGCCGTTCATCGAGATTGAGGAGGATATTGGAGAGAGTATTGCGAGGCATATTTGGGATGCTGGGTTGATGGCCATCTCAAGAGTCTGGCTCGTCAACGGCCGAGAAAGTTACAACGCGGGAAAGCATCCCTGGCACATGCACGAGTTCCACGGATTACTTTTTCGGAAAGGACCGCTGAACATTCTCGAGCTTGGATGCGGCGTAGGAATCTTGGGTAACGGACTTGCGCAAATCATGACTAGGGAGGATCCGGAGGGGAAGAGCAGCATCCTCATGACTGACCTCCCTGAGGCGGAGCAACGCGCGAGAGCGAATATCGAACACCTAACTAGAGCGGGAACGGCGTCTATACGCCCAGAATACGAAAACCTCGACTGGGATGACGGGCGCAAAGGCGAGCTCGGCCCGCTCGTCAAAGCCAAATCGTGGAACCTCATCGTCATGAGCGACTGCACCTACAACGTCGACGTGCTCCCCTCTCTCATCAATACCTGGACGGCAGTGCACGTGCATAACCTTGCCAAGAGTCCCCAAGGCTCGGCACAGACCTATATCTACGTCGCCTGGAAGAAGCGGCACCCGGACGAGAACGAGTTCTGGAACCTCGTCGACGACGCCGGGTGGGTCCTCCTGGAGGAAGACGTCGTTGACCTACCAGTGCTCGGCGGCGAAACAGAAAAGATCTTTTCGTATCTTTTTGAGACGCATTCCCAGAAGTACGAGATGGTGGCCGAGACGGGGACGTGGAAGTGTCTGGATCGCGCTGACTCGAAGGCTCGATTGAGTGGTTGATCGAGCGTTTCTCAGACGAGCCGCCGAGGATCTCCCCGGATCGTACCGAGGAGCAGCAGACGGCGAGTTAGACAAATGGTGTGCTTCGTTGGGGTTCTATGATGTCGCACGTCACACACTGCCGATCCCACAATATACGGAAGCCAACTACTCCATGCTCTAGGACTTTGACTCTGGGCCGCGTGTGATGACCGGTGGCTTCTCGCGCTGATCTCGCAGCAACTCCAGCACCCATCGTGACATTGATTTCGAGGCCGACGGACACCCAAACCATGTTGTTCTCCAATATCTCAACGTTCTGCTTCAGGCATCGTCGTAACGAGCTGAAAGCCCTGCGTGGTGCTCGAATTCACCGACTGAACAGACCGTCGCATAAAGATGACTCTGTTGGAACTCGCCTGATGAACAAGAGTTCTTACTAGAGCGTCGTCATGCACAATACGCCATACTTACGTCCTTGAGATTTCTCGAGATTGCGGGTTGTCCTAGACAAAGTTTGCAACTGAGCTGCCAGGAACCACTCAGACATTCAGATGGAGGAGTTGCGTGTGTGTTCATCGCTGTGGCAGCACAGGCACATGCACTTAGACTCAGAGACCACCCTTGACCAAGGTGCTCTGCTCGCTCTGACTCTGAACAATTGGTTATTCTCACAAGGTTTTACGAGCAGGCTCGTCCAGAAGACAGACTGACCAACACGTCTTCCACCCCTTCTATGCTCTCTAAGACCGTATGCACTCCCCACGCCGGTATCCATGCGCTTCTGCATTCATCCTCGTCATTCCATCGAACGAACGCGAGCATCGTCGAGGAACGCAGCACCCTCTTGCTGGTGGAGAAGCTTCTCTTGCCGCACCACTTGAAACTCGAGCGGCAGGCGGCCGGCAAAGCCCGCCTCCGTACCCACTGAATCATTTTAGTGGAATCCTCTTCAAAGTCAAAGACACGCAGGACTTACAGCATAGGATGGTCACAAGCTCCACCAGCACCGGTATCCATGGGGTGAGAGCCAGGGCCTGGCCAAGACTCCAAGTCTCCTCCGCTCTCCGCGGCGCACTGCTGAAGAAGCCAAGGAGGATGACCCAGGCACCCCACGTACAGATGAAATTCGCAGCAGCATACAGAACCATTGCCCAGTTGGCAACCTTGTTGAGCCAATTCGCCCGCCACATCTTGCGGTTGTTACACCGGTAGAAGCAGAGAACGACGCTCAGGCAGATTCCGAAGAGGGGCGGCATCCAGACCATGGCAGCCATGGTAAACATGGCTGCCGAGACCACCCCCTGCGGCGGATGATTCTCCGGGCAGAGGTCGAAGACGCGCTCGTTTTGGTAGTAGTCTTCCTGGGCGTTGTTAGTACATAAGACCCACGCCGCGGTATGGATGACAAAGAGGCAAATGAGGACGGCGCCTTTCAACCAGCTGCGTCGGACAGATGTAAGGACCAGCGGGAGCATTGCCGCGAGCGGGTAGAAGGCCATGGCGGAAACGATGAGCTGGAGGGATGAGTTGTACCGGTAGGCGACCGGCGTAACCTGACTGTAGATGACGGTGGCTTGAATTCCAAGGGAGAGGAAAGCGGCCGCGGTGAAGAAGTCGTACGTCGTGCACCGCGAGGCCACGCTGATACGCGTAACAAGTCTAGGCTTGCTGTCCGATGCAGCTGTGTGAGGCTTTTCAGACAAAATGCCTGCGTTCTTGCGGCGGGTGAAGAAACGTCGGACCGCAAACAAGCAGTACACGGTCAACACGATAGTTTCAAAGCCATACGAAGCGAGCAGCTGGGGGGTGTCAGGACATCATAGTATAGCAGCAACCCGAGAAAAGACCTACTCCGAAGCCTGCGAGACCTCCATCAATCTCTGATCCGATGGATTGACACATCTCAGGCCGGCAGGGCCTGTACCGGTTCACGTCATTGCCCAAGTGGGTACTGTTCGAACGCGCCCATTCATGCCACTCGATAATTTCGGCGTTGGATGGAGGCTCGATGTCATGGTTTTCTGTCGCCGTACGCCAAAACCTCGCAACTCTAGGGAATGGAGGCTCATTATGTTGTGTCACGATCCAGCCGACGTACTCGCCGGTAAGGGAACAATTCGAGAGAATATTGAGCGAGGTCCATGGCGCTTCTGTTCCAGGAAGAATACTCATCGTGTATGGCCCAAGGCTGGTTGCTCCGTGACGTGACTGAATCGTTTTACAGAGGCTTCTGACGTTCGCAGAGCCTGGGAAACACAACGCCGCAGGAGTTCGTTAGGCTATCGCATTGGTGATTAGATTGAAATCGGATTTGATATATCAAAACATCATGGCAGAATAGTGTTCCCTAGGAGGCTGCCTAGCCCCTGAAACGCGAAGGATTCGACTAGTGTATTTTGTGCCGTGCTGCAGTACCGAGATGACATTCTTCTTGCACCGCAGCGCACTCGGCCAATAGCCGTTCTCTATCCTGAGACTTGGCTAACCAACTTGGTCCATCGCGACAAGCCATCTCCACCCTAAATCGACTGGCGGAGGACGATCTTTTGATAAGATGCTTACAGTTTAAGCGCCAGGGGATTTCTTTCTTAAAGCACGTTTGCTGCCGAATCTTCTCAAAATATCGAGCACTGAGCAAAGACCCTCTGATGTAGGCACTTCTGTTATGTGCTGATGCGGGACAACTTGTCACTCAATTACTCTACATTAATCAGCTTGTAGACACCAATCTAGCAGTATGTCCACGGTTAGTGTACGACACGTCAAAAACTGTGACCAGAGAAGCTTGTATGGACTATTATGTATCTCAAAAGTCTATAGTACTAACGAAGAGTCCCAAACAGTGCCGCGTGCCGGAGATGGCAAAACCCTTCTCGCTCCAATACCTTCGACGGTGACGACGTCTTTAGGTCCTTAGGGCTGGCACTGGCGGGTTGAACAATCTCGAAGAAGAAGCCTTTGATTCTATCTACCGAGAACTCGCGGCATATCAGTGGGCGAATCGGAAGTCCAGTCTTTGCTGTCCCTCATCAGTGGTATTGATAACATAATCCTCCTGCTGTTCCTTGGTCATCGCATTCCACCGCCTGTCGCGGACCTTGTTGCGCCAGATGTAGAAGGCCTTGACGAAGTAGAACAGCACAATGTTGAAACAGCAGATTCCAAGAAGAACCTTGTTTCCGCGACGGTATAGCGGCTGGTCGTCGTCCCGGTAGATGTTGGAAGCCGCGATGTTGCCCGCCTGCACAAACATGTTGTACAGCGCGGCGCTGACGGCTCTTGTCCGCACCGCATTGCTGTTCTTCGCGTTCCAGCCGACAAGGATGGCGTGGCAGTACGGGTAGCTCAAAAGACCCGTCAGCAAGGCATATCGGACCCAGGTGCTAGTAGACTCTGGCAATGCTACGAGCGCAACGAGCCACGGGAAGATCCACCAGTTCGAGATGGATGAGACGATGGCCCGCTCCTTGACTCGTCCGGATACCCAGGAGATGATCAATAGATTGATCGCGAACAGGAACTGCGAGGGAATGGCAAGTAGATTTGCTTGGAACGTGGAGAATCCCAGACGTCGCAGGATGTAAGACAGGTATGTGCTGGGCGGGGAGGGCGGGATATAGGTGGTCAAGCCAATTAGGTACAGAGGCCACTGCTCCCAGTCTTTGACTGCCTTGAAGAGGAGGGACGGGCCGACGGCTTCTCTACTCAAGGAATTAGCTCGTGTCGTTACGTGCAAATAGAGATTTGTCTTACCGGTTGTGCATGTCACCCTTGCTCGGGTCGTCCCGCAGTAAACGGTTCACCATGATCAACTCTTCGTGATCGGTAAACCAACCATTCTTGCCCCGGAACCAGTTCTTGGTCTGAGTGGGGCCGGGAGGCATCAAACCCCACGAAAAGATGCCGATGATGAGTGTTACGATTCCCTCGAGGAGAAAGCTAGTCAAAGTTAGTTCAGAGGATCGCATCCCTGTCGTAGTGTGGACTCACAGCCATCTCCAACCAGCCCATCCTGCCACACCTCGCATTTGAAGTACACCAGCGGCGACCAGGGACCCCACAATGTTGACAGTACTCAGAGCAGTCCAAAACCACGCAAGTCTGAGTGGCAGCTCGTTGGACTTGTAGAAGTATGTAAGCCAGAGTACGATATCGCTGTAGTAAGTCAGCAATTGCCGGTAGCCATCATTTCGGATCTTCCTAAACTCACGGAATGAAACCACCCATCAGAAGACCCAGCATGACTTTGACAGCATAGAACCCCGCACGATTCGACAGGAACGCCTGACAACCGGCCGTGATGGACCAGCCGACCATAATAGACGGGATCCATCTATCAGCGCCGACTTTCTTGCTGATGAGGCCGCTGGGCAACTCCGCGGCGAGGAACGACAGTAGGAAAATCTACCCCCATGTGTGAGCCTATCAACGCCATCATGCTGTCATCCTTGGAAACTAACTGTTTGTCCATAGTTGAAATCGTTCGTGGTCATTCCGAGTTCAGGAAGCTTTTGTCCATGTCAGTCATCGGCCGGTACACGCTGCCGTCGCCTGGGTGAATCTCACCATATTGTCGGAAATCGCACGGTTGATGTTTCGTCGGTGAAGGTCGAGAGCGCAGAACATAACCTTGACATCACTAGTCAGCAACCAATCACTTATTGACGGAAGAGGTGCACAAACCCAAGCCCACACCATAATTCTCTTGTCGATCTAAACAAATCCAGTTAAGTTAGTTCTCACTCGACGCCGCAATTGTTCTAAATGCACAGGGGAATGACGTACCTTTCTGACCAACTTCTTCTCGTCTTCGGCTGACCATTGGTAGCTAGGATCGAATCGATGGCGGTTCTCATACTGTGCCTTCTCGTATACTTTGCGCCAGTAGTCGGCGGCACTGGGGTCCGAGAAGACATGTTCATCCGTGGAGCCGTAGTGTTGAGCAACCTGTTCTCGCAATGACGAGGCAGAGGTGTCTGTCACAGCCTGTGTCTGCGTGGTGTCGACCTCTTTGGCCGGGTCCTTGAAGGGCCCTTCGACTCCTTTCGATGCCATGGCGGAATGCAACTTGCAGACACTTGACAACCCAGCTGTCACAATGTAAACGAGTCTTGCAGAAGCCTTTTAGAGCTTCATCAACAGCGTCACAACTGCATAGGTACCGGGAACGTGGTCCGGTCCGCGGAGATGCAAGAACCTTTATACACGCCCTCCACAATCCCGATAATCTGGATGTAGGTCCCAAGCCCGATCCATCTTAAATTTGATCCTCCATCCTGGCATTGGATGGCAAGGGGCTTCGAGAGGCAGACAAAAAAAAACCCTTCAAACTGGCGCGATGGACTAAGACGATCACCTCATATGCAGCTTGTCCTCTTTAGCAAATCACACTCCTTATCTATGGTGCAATTGCCAGAGGTTATTGCGCTGTAAACTAAGGGCCCAACGAGTCGTGCTTTAAAGCGTGGGGGGTGTGATCCAGAGTGGCCCGGACCATGTTCCTCAATGTCGTCTATTCCCTGGGCAGCAGTTTTCGCCTGTGGCAGTGATACGCTACGGACCGAAAACGACAGGCAAAAACTCAAGCCGAATTGCAAGGGACTGAATTAAGCGGAAGGAATCCCGCCTGGGTCCATTGGGGGGATTGAGGGGAATCGCTTAAGGTGTACAGATGCCGACTGGGGAAAGCTGCGCAATGCCGTAAGATGACGAGCCGATTGCCATGTGTGGATAGTGCGTCTGTCGGCGAGGATGATCCATGTCTGCCTTCGCTGTGGTGTTGATGTCTTTGAGCGGCATGAACACCCACATGTTTGTTAACGAAAAGGGCTTGGGGTGGGTATTGCGTGATGACAGCCATGAGATTGCGACAGACCGTTGAACTGATGTAGAGGTAAGTCAAAGCACCCACTTTTCGGCCACCCCTGCTTTTCGGCCACCCGAAAATGCCGCCCAGCCACCCATTTTCTAGATGCCCTCCAACTTCTAACTATCACAACATTTTCTATTCTTCATCAAATCGCTTTATTTTTCTAGCATCTACTCTTTATAGTCTAATGGTCCAGTATACCGAATTTGAAGTCAATCGAGCGCTTGCCGACATTGCAGATGGGGTATCTGCTCGCGATGCCTCTAAGCGATGGGGGGTACCACGATCAACACTGCAAAGTCGATTAAAGGGCAGCCAACCTAGAGCAGCAGCATTTGAAGACCTCCAAAGGCTCTCTATTAGTCAGGAGGCTAAGCTGGCAAGCTGGGTGTAAATACAGGCTGACCTCGGGCTTGCGCCAACGCATCAGCAAGTCAGAGAATTTGCTTAGCGTATCCTGAATGCGATGGGCGATACCCAGCCTCTAGGAAAGAGATGGTTAGATGCCTTTATACGAAGAAACCCATCTATCAAGGTCCAGAGAAGTCGATCTATTGATTCTAGACGTGTTAATGGGGCATCTACTGAGATTATCAGGGACTGGTTCAGATATCTCGCAATCCCAGCAATATCAGCCATCCAACCAGCCAACAGATACAACATAGATGAGACTGGTATCCTTGAGGGCCAAGGCGCAAATGGGCTGGTGCTGGGCAGGGCAGAGACCAAGTGTAACAGCACAACTCCCCTAGCCCGATGGTTGTACGTCACAAGGGCATATAAGCAGTGTTGACAGCAGGGCTTGCACGCGTGCAAGCACTGACGGATCTTTTGGGTCAATTGGGTCAATTGGTTAGGCCGTAGAGTCAAAGGGTCCTTGCGACCGATGTCACTGTCAGCGTCTGTTACACCAAGTCTATACGGAAAAAGCAGCCTGGATCGCGAGCCTGGGTATCTATTATCGAGTGTATCTTAGCTGAGGGCCTGGCACTACATCCTCTTGTGATATATAAGGGCAAGACAGTCCAGCAGCAGTGGTTTCCTCTAGATCTTGGCCCATATGATGGATGGGAGTTTATAGCAACAGAGAATAGATAGACAACTGATGAGACTGCTGTTGAGTGGCTGCTGAAGGTCTTCTTGCCGCAGACTGCCCCCTCCTAGCCTGATCAGGCCAGACTGCTGGTCCTGGATGGGCATAGGAGCTATACAACGACAGAGTTTATGTGGCAATGCTATATTAATAACGTCCATCTGTTATTCTTACCGCCATATACCTCCTATGTCCTTCAGCCACTAGATCAGTCAGTCTTCAGCCTAGTCAAGGCAGCCTATCGCAATAGGCTCCAGCTTAACCTCAACTAATAGAACAATTTAACTATAATAGGCAAAAGACACTTCCTATCTTGTTATCAGCTAGCACACTTAGCTGGGCTAACAAAAAAGAATATTCTAAGTGGCTGGAAACATACTGGACTATAGCCTGTTTCTATAACTAGACCTCTTTTGAGCTCTTTGCTGCTACCCAAGGCAACAGCATGTTACGACCCAACAAGCATAACATAACCAGGGTCGCCCCACGGGCGCCTAGCGGTTACGAGACAAGGTTATATGCGGGATGGCACGGGAACACGTTAATCCCCTCTTGGAACAGAAGAACTAAGGAAGGTCACGTGAAGATAAGAAGAACTAACAACAGATAAGCGGTCCATGACCCAGGACCAACATACTAAGGATCAGTCCTTATCAAGGACCAACTTCAAGAGATCAGTCCTAACAGGGCAACAATAGGATATAAGGACAATTGTTCTAACTAGACTAGATACCTTCTATAGCTCTTTAGCAATTAACTTTATAATTTATTCTCTTATAAGTAACTCTTAGATTATTTTTCTATTATAAAGCTATAAAGCTATCTATACCTAGATATACCTAACTAATCACTAGACATTAATAAACCAACAAGATTACTAATAAGACTTACCTTACTATTACTAAGTATTAACCTTAGCTACCTATTAGCAGAAAATACTACTATTAGATATCTAACTATAACACTTTGATTGCTTCTGTTTAGTAAGTTAACCTTAATACTTACTAAACAGTAACTATGTTCACTAAAGGCACTTTAGCTTTATCCTTAATAGGTCTAAAGGGAAAAGCACCTATGTCTTTTACCCCTAGAAACCTAGACAACAAAATAAAGAATATTAAGGGATTAGATAATAAAATCGAATTTACTAGGAAAATATATAAGGATTAGTAAAAACATATAAAGTAAAACAATAATAACATTATGTAGCTATAAGCTATAGTAAACAAAACTACTAGTGCTCTTTAAGCAAAGACTTTAGAGACTAATAAGCTTAAACAATAAGTCCAGACTTTATAAGAAGCTACTAATATTATCTTGACCCTAGTGGATAAGTAGAAGAAACTTAAGCTTAACTCCCTTACTACTTATAACAAGACCTCTAGAACGCTTAAAGGATTCTTAATACAGGTTAGGACCTACTAGACGTTTTACTCTAGTAACTTCTATATAGAAACAAAGAAAATCATTTATATAGGTACCTTCTTTAGAGAATAAGTCCTCTCTTAGTTTAAACCTTACTTAGAAGACTATTTAAACAATAAGACGCTAAAGTACTATAACCTAGAGACCTAGTAAATCTTTAAGAGCTTCATAGGATTTAAGTATACCTTGAAATCCTTATTCTAGGACCTAAACAAGAAATAATAAGCTAAATAAGACTTAGTAAATCTTAAACAAACCAAGTTAGCTATTAACTATACTATAGAGTTTTAAAGAATCTATATATAACTTGATTATATTAATAATATTAAGATCTTTATGTTCTACTAAGGACTTAAAGAAGAAGTAAAAGATAAGCTATCTAAGCTTAACTAACCAGATAATTTCCTATAATATATAGAAATTATAGTTAGAATTAATACTAGACTATATAAATAGTAAAAAAAAAAAAAAGAAATATATTGCCTTTAGCTAAATACTAGCAGAAAGTATATACTATAAGGACCTAGGAACTTATAACTTAACTTATACTAGTAGAATAACTAACAACATAGTAAGCTAAGCATCTCTTATAAGCAACATAGTAGACCTATAGACATTAGTACTATAACTAAGAAGCTTTACTAGAACTACTAAGACCTAAAGGACTTTAAATATTATAACTATAAAAAGCTTAGCTATATAGCTAAAGACTATAAATAGCCTAAATAACTTTAGAACTAACTAGTACCTAAAAATACTAAAAAAGTTAATATAATAAGAAAAAAAATTCTTTATAAACAAAAGAACTAGACTACCTACTTTAATAATAACTACTTAGTTTATTAAGAACTAAAAGAATAAGCTAAATAATACTTATAATAGCTTAAACATAGAACTATAGTAATCTTTTAATAAACCTAGAAAAGAGGCTACCTAGAATAAACTATAGTTTAGTAACTAGAGTAATAAAACTAATAGCTAATCACTAAGCTTATCTAAGCTAAGAAAGCTATATAAAGCAAAGAAGATAACCCCTGTATACCTAATACCCTAAAAGTTATTAAAGAATAACTCTAACTATATATATAAGCCTAAAAGAACTTCTAGAAATAATAAGTACTTAAAAAGAACTTTAAGAATACTCTTAAAAAAAAAAAAAGTATTAAACCTAAGAAACCTACTAAGATAATAGCTATAAAGCAAAAACAACTATAATAACCTAGATTTTTTTTTCTAAGACTTAGGTTTAAGGAACCTATACCTTAAGAATTAATTAAAGTACTTAGTAAAAAAATAAGCTCTAAAGAAGAACATAAGGAATCACTTAATAAGTTTAAACCCTTAAGTAAACTTAAAAAAAAGGCTACTAAATAACTTATAGATCTTAGAAAATCAAGCTAAACCTCTATATAATTAATATCTTATAAGGATATTAAAAAAAAAACTAAAATAATTATATTTATATTATTCTTAGAAAAAAAAGAATCCTCTAATAAATTAGACCTTAGACAAAAAGTCTTTTATAAAAGGGAAATATAGCTCTATAAGGCTAATTAAAGCTTAACTTATTATAACCTAAATAAACTAATAGCTATATAAATAAATATTAACTTTAGTAATAACTTAATAATTAAAAAGGCTTAGTTTACTAAAAAGAACTACCCTAAG